AGAAACTGGATGGGTGGGTTTTTCCCCCCCCCCCCCCTTTTTTTTTTTTTACTTTATTCCAAGCATCAAACATTTAACCCTGGGGTTAAATGTTAAGGGCTACACAGGCAATAGCAGACTATTAAAACCAGCTTCCCTGTTTATTCACATTGTCCAAAATGCAGGATAGCCCATGCTATCAGCAGCTAAACCAGCACAAACTGAATATGGAACATGAGGTTTTTTGCTAGACTTTTGGCCTTTCAAATGTACTGGAGCAAGGTTCACCTGAACTCTGCTGTTGGCATGTAAAAAAACCCCTCAAGTCATTGTATACATATTTGCAAGTTCATTGATTCCTTAGGTAGGTAAGCATAGGTAGGTAAACATAGGTGGAGATGTTACATACAAATTATCATACCTCTGTCACTGAAGTCATCCACCAGCACTATCTCTGCTATCAGCTCAGGAGGGGAGCGGTTTAGGACACTGTGTACTGTCCGGAGGAGAGAGGACCATCCTTCGTTATGGAACGGTATTATCACACTAGTGTTCGGAAGCTTCTCCAGGTACAGCTTATTCTTGCAGCTGGACATAGAGAGAGTAAGTCAAAAGGCGGTGCCAAAAAACACCAGCACTTCCATATGAATTACCATCAAGTAACTTAGTTCATTCTTTACTCCTCAAATTGATGCAAAGTGCCTGAAAAAAACCCACCAACTTTCAGGCCTTATCAAGCCAGTGTTGACCTGATCTAGTCTACCTAGCAAAAAAACAAAATTCCATATGAAGTGGGGACAGTGACACTTAGCAACACAGAAAGTCAGAGGGATCTATTAGGTGCTGAAGCTGCTTTTAAAGGGAACTCCAGTTATAGCTTAAGAGTCTCTAAAATACTTGTTTTCCCTGCCCTTATACCTTGAAGATCACTAGAAGAACTTCTACAAAGTTGTTTCAGAAGTTGAATGTATCTCTTCTAGGCATTATCAGTACATCGGTTTAGCTCACTTGTTCCCAGTTTTCAGACAAGCAAATCAGTCTAATCACATGTATAACTGTCATCCAAATTTTTTTTAACAAAATATGCAGGAAGTAAGAATTTTGTGTGACGGCACCTTCCCTAAACAGTCCCAAAAGTTCAAGACATTGTGAACAATACACAGAAGAGACAGTATAATTGCATGGTAAGAACTGCTCAATAAAGAAACACACCTCTCAGTAACAGATTAACCTCCAACCTCTACCAAAAGTTTCCTTTGTCATGCTGGACAATTATTCAAATCATACTTTTCCTAAAGAATTGATCTTGTCTTCCCCATTTTTCAGCAGGTCTAGTTTGATCCCTGGGACCAGTTCTGCAGACAGAAGTGAAGAGGGCTGGGCTTTGAAGACAAAGCACTGCTGAACTTGGATAAAGCTGGACAGTCAGGTCTGCAGAGACCGCATATGGACCCCTTGAATTTGGGGGTATTTCCCCACAGCATTAATCTTCTTAATTTTGAAATAGGGGTAATGCTTTCTTGCCTTGTGGGTGTGTTTTCAGGGTAGCTTCATGAAGAAAATTCAAACTGCAGCAATAAGTGCAGTGTTTATTTTCCTGCAGGTGTAGCCCTAAGTGGAGTTTGAACCTGGTTAAACAGGTAACATCTAAGGCCATACAGCGAACAACTGTAGTTAAAAAAACCCAGTAGCTGTTCCCTAGGGGACAAAAATCTATTACATTCCTAGAACCCCACGTGTCCAGTGCGAAACAGAGGTGGCTATGTGAATAGAGATTTTTAGAATATATTAATGACATTGCCAGCAGGGCAGGCTGCCCTCTTTCCCCTAGCAGGGGAGGGAGGTCATACTCCGCTCCCTGCCCTGCCACAACACTGGACCTCTTGCATAGCCTGCACCAGAGCTGATTTGCAGACTCTCTCCTGCCAGACTATCACTACGTGTACAATGCAGTGCCTGCACGCACGCAGTAATTCCCTCCCTATTCCCCAGAAGGGCAGACGGGAACGAAAGTGGCTCTGGCAGTGGCAGCTTTTTCCTGGTACCTTTCCCAGGGAATGGAGAAGGATGCACCTATGTTATACAAGCTCAATAAATCTGTGGTTACAGGAAGTTACTCTGGTGCCTGTGTGAAAGGACAGTAGCTTATTCTGTGTCTAATGAATTGTCTTGGGGTGCTGCCAAGAGCTTTCAGGCTATGGCTGCAATGCACAGATGCAAGATGCAAAATAAAGCTGCATGGACTGCTTTCATCCAGCCCTTGGCATTGCAATCTTAACCTTCGAGATAGCTACTAGCTATAATTCTGTTCCGATATGAAACAAGAGCCCCCAAATCTCTTCTAACTCTTCTTAAACTGGAATTCTCATTTTCTGACTAACTTTAACAAGTGGGAAACTTTAGCTATTAAGTTTAACCATTAAGCATGGATAGAAATTGTTTCCCTCCAGCTACCACATCTACAATTGCTTTACAAGACCTGCAAAATTTGTATTTAATATTAAAAAACCCAGAAGCACTTAAAGGAAATGTTAGCAGGGGAAGACACGACTGTTGAAATAAATAATTGTATGTGTGCACCAGGTAGATCCAGTACATGCCCTCCCCCAGCCCCTCGATTCCTATGATTAACAGAAAGCAGAGGTGACACGCTATTTGGTATATAAAGGTCCACACAAACCATCTCAGAAGTGAGCAAACATGTTGGCTGCTTCTTTGTCCTTCCCAACCCAGACCAGCTGTGGGGGAGAATCCCAACTATGGCCCCAAAGCTTAGGACAGGACAGATGCCGCATTTTTTCCCCAGTTCACCTTCTCCTTACACTCCCCGCTGTCTGCGGGCACATCTCCAGACGACGGGTCTCTCTATTCTGTCTGACTGTACGTAAAAGGCTAGGTAAAGTAAGTGCTCTAAAACACAGCTCCCTTCTTTCTAGAATGCTCTTTATGGACTTCGTCTCAGCCTAACTTAGTTACAAATTGCCCTCATCAACCTCCCAAATAACACAAACCATACCGTTTCAAGTATATCTTTTTTAATGGGCACAGGGAATACACAACAGACCTTTTCAGTCGTGAATTCCTTTACTGCAAATCTCCATTATACATAACCCCACTCCCCGCCCAGCTAATCCTAGCATCCGTTATACACAGTTTGCCCTCTCCTTGAGATCTCCACAATTATAACTTGCTACATTGGGGGAAAAGATGTGTCAAGCAACAAGTAAACCAGCTGCAGCAGCATCATTAAACACAGCTTAAGCTGTTGGTGACCCAGACACTTCACTTATTAATTTTAACTGGGGACTGGAGTTAGAAGTTTCACATTTTAAAAAAGTTTAAGTACCAGAATTAGCAACGAGGAGTCAGCAACTTTGGGAAACAATGGGGAATATGAGGTAATATATTAAATCCTCAGATGAGAAAATACTGGCATTGTCTGATGTTTAAATTCTCAGAGCCCATGGCAGCCCCTGTAAATGGAGGTCAGGTATAATTTAGGTTAGCAAACTCAAACTGTATTTCCTAGAATTTGAGTATGGGCTGATCAACAAGCATCTTCAGTTACCTGATTTATCTCTATGTTTAAACATTTCAGCTGCATGCCTAAAATATTTGTGGAGCTATACTCACTACTCTGGTTTATGAGTATATATTGAGAAAGGGTGTCAAGCCAGTGTATTTGATTAGTTTGCTGTGACAGCTGAAGAGGTAATCTCTCATATGTGCAGCTAACAAATTATAAAACCTGACTTCTGGAAATTATATCTCATGAATAAAGTAGATGTTGAATTCGGATTCACTAAATTGTGATAAAAGCGGCTTTACACAAAACAAGCTTCCATTCAAGTGTCTAGCAACACTTTCAGATTAAGAGCCACACAAACAGTATTTAAAAACCTCTCAGCTTTGTATAAACAAGGGTTAAATCCTAACTGAAGCACTTTTGCTAATGAAAAACTCCTGGCTCGCACAAAATCCAGTTTGACACCATCCTAAGAGATAATGTCCAAAAATAGATGAACTCAAAAGCCAGCATTCAATTGGAACTAGTTTCTACTCGTAAATCCTGATGAGGTTTTTATGAGGAAGATGTCTAAGAAACTAATCCATAAATCAGAAGCATTTCTGATAAAACTCTTCATACATAGTTGAGTGGAGCTACTGAAATCTTGTTCAGCTCCTGAGCATTTTGTGGTCATTTCCAGCTAGTGGCCAACACAAGAACTGGACAGAGCGTTTAGTGACAAAGTCATCACCTGACTACACTTAGGGCACTTGTCAGCTGAGTCAGACATTTACATCAGTTTCCACTACAGAAAGAAATAGCTCCACCTTATTAGTTGCTAGAAGTTGTTGGCTATGTCAGTGGGCTCAGGAACTGAACTGTCAAGTTGCAAGAGGTGAAGGAAGCAGCCACTTCTGGGTTAAGTTCAAGATCTCTTCTGTGCAGGGTTGCAAGTTTTTGGTAATTTTAAGTCTTTTGGAATCAAAAGGGGATTTTTTTCCCCAGATTTGGTCTCCTCTATTTCCCATTGCAATTACTATACACTGTCCTTTATTAAGGAGACAGCAGGACCCAGCTGTGAGAGGACTGTATTTGATGAACAAAGGTACAAGAGTCCATGATAAAAAAAGAGCATATTCCTGCAGATGTGGTAATTTAGGGCTTGTAAAAACTTTCACTCATAGAAATGCAAACTATATACTCACTTTGGATGTCTGATGTCTGGAAGGGAACGATTCAGAGAAATTTTATCACTCACAAAGATATTAAAGCCATTTTCCCTGTACGCCTGGTCCACTCGCTCTGCATCAGTCATTGGGTAAGGTTTTCCCTGTTCTCCATTTCCTATGGATAGACAGAAAGTAAACATGCATCATTACTACTAATTGGTGCTTAACTGGCCAGAAACTAATCCATATATGAAAAGAAGAGCAGTCATCTTATAGCCCTTTGTTAGTTCTGTGCTATGTGTCATATTCAGCACTGGGTCAACCATGCCAACCTAACAATTTTATTTGATAAGCAGTTTTGCTACAAACCACTCAGCTGTGCAAATATTAGAAGTTAAAAGTCTTCCTTCCAACATCAGAAACAGATGAAGGGGCTGTGGCAATGCTGTGGAGGATCTACAGAGTGTTTTTTGTTTCACTGCAGGAAGAATACATATGGTTTGAATACCTCATCACTGTTGCTTTTTTCAGCACAGATGGATATGTATATTTAACAACCTGAGCTCTCGCACAGAGAAGGCAGAGCCCTTGCAGACACACCAGTGTAAAGCTGTGACGTTCAAAATGGGCCCTTTTATGCAATGCAAGGCAAAACCCAGAACTATGGAATAAAACTTTCATGAATGTTATAATCCAGAACATTTTTCTTGTCCCTCTTCTTTCTTTCTGGATCTCCCATTTTTGGGAGAGGTACAGGCACACATTTTTTGTTAAGGTTTTAAAAAAACAATACTGCACCTATCCTAAAAATACCAAGATGTTACCAACATATTTTCACCTCAAAATGGTTATTGTAGAGTTGGGGGAAAAGGCTTTAACTGGGATTAACACACAGTAACTGTTGCATCATGTCAAGAACATCATCTTGACCCTGAAGTTGAACATGCTGTTCTGTACTCAGCCTACCAAATAAAATCAAACTAAATTACAGTCTGTATTAAAACATTTTTATAGTAATCTTACATACCTACACGCTCAGAGTCCCTCCTTATAGCTTCTTTGTTATGCCAGTCCTTTCTCCTTTGTCCATCACCAAAGTAAGGGTCTTTCTTTTGCCTCACGTATGCCTTTTAAACAAAAGATTGGATATATTAAATACACAACATATGAAATCTTTCCTTAACAGCCTCTCCTTCCTGTAAGAGGAGATTAAACATCTTCCTTAAGGTAAGACCATCACAAGCAAGTAGTTTTTACCCTGAAAGGGGTGAGGGAGGAAACAAGCTTTGCTTGCCTCAGAACAGTACTTTATCTGTACTTTATCTACTTTTATAGCTGTTAAGTGATTTTTTTTTTTTTTTTCAGGGCACATCATGTATGCAGACCAGTATTCTTAATCAGGGAATCTATTAAAAACTCCCATTTTCATTTTGAAAACATCCAATACATCTTACATCCTATTTAATTAACAATAAAGCTGTAATGGGAGACCTATTGCAGGATCATTATTAATGAGCACACTACTATACCTGAATAAAATCAAAATAAGATTTAAAAGGTCATTTATTAAGACTCTTGCTGCTCAACTTAAAAGCAAATTTTACACAAGGCATGAGCCTGCACTGAACCCAATTAGAGCTCCTCTTTTCATGAGGTTGTTCCTGAAATTCAAAAGCAATGGGTACTCTGGGAACAAGTTAGCAAATGAAACATGGGGTGAATTCAGGATCAGAGACACTATAGCGTATGGAAAGAAAACCATGATACATCTCAAACACTGACATCCCCCAAATCCAAGGGAAATATATATAAAAAATACATTTAAGTAGGTTTTAGGGTCAATAAGAGAACATCTTCTCTGAGAATGAGTTTTCAATTATGTTGTAATATGCTGGTAGAGTATAAATGCAAGTCATTTGTAGCATCATTACTGCAGAAGTAGTTACACAAAGAACTTAAAGGTTTTTCCCTTTTAATTCCTCGTGACCTGCAGAGAGAACTCCACAGGCTAGAACTTCCTAGAAAGAAAAAAAAAGCTTCCCTCCTTGGAGGGCAAGAGATTTAAAGTCTCACTAATGGGTCAATCAAACCAAACAACCACCAAAAAGCAACGGTTGGCATAGTAACCTTGCAGGGTTATCAGGCATCTTTGGCATCTGGGACACAGACGTCATTTGCCTGACTAGTTAAATTACAAACTCTTCATTTTCATGCCTAGATTTGTCTTGGGAAAATAGGACATTTGGACATTATACTTGTTATTCCAAGGCACTAGACTTCAGCCTGATGCAGTTCACCTCACTGCAGTCTGACAGATGAGCTCTGGTCAACCTTGCTGTGAAGGTTTCGCAGATTATCCCCATTGCATCATCCCTCTTCTATAACAGTCAGCAGGAAGGGAGCCCTGTGTATTAGCTCACAGAACCATCAGTGAAGACAGGTTTCAGCTAAGATGTCAAATTGAACTAGAGTGGCTGAACACAGGTACATGCTCTGCTCCGCCTGCTCTGTTACGGGTGGTAACCCTTAGCAAAGGAACTGCATGAAAACCTTGAGTTGTGCTGGTTGTATTACCATGACAAAGGGTAATAAACCAGTGGTCTAAAAGTAATAAAGCTCAATCTGATTAAAAGCTGGCCTGTGAACTATTAGAACTTTTTTTTCCCCCACGTAAGAGATTTTAAATCAGTCTAGATCCTTTCAATCATGGATCATGAAATGATTTACACTCAGCTTCTTGACATTTTGCAGACGGTAACATACCTGGCAGAAGTCAAGTTTCATCCATGAAACCACTCAGTTACACATTTCAATTAACTAACATCAATACTCAGAGCATTCCCCTTCCTGCTCCCTGCAATTTATTTTCACTGAAGGAGAGCTGATGGGCACTCAGGATGGACAAGAAGTCAGTCACACTGCTAGTTCACGATGTGAACAAGTATTAAGGAACTTCCACTTGTGCCACCTGGAGCTAACAAGGATATTCTCTGAAAAATACTTATGAGGCAGGAAGATGGAGGGAAAGGAACTCTCAGGGTGGCACAGGAATAGCAGGACCACATACAGGATGCGATTAACAGTGGTGAAAACCGGACGACTGCCAGAAAAGGATGGTTAGCAGGAAAGGACAGTTACACCCAGAAGAAATGTGACCACTTTAAGAAAAATCCCAGGAGAGCTATATTTAGAGAGTGTACTTGATTTCTTTCATATACTCCATAATTTCTTAATTTTCTTCTTCATTATCTGTTCTTTTATTTTCCACTCTGCTGAAGTTATAGGAGTCAAAAAAGCAATAGCTCATTTTTATGTTGTTAATTACTGTCCCTTTAGCACATGATCTCTACTCTTCTAAATCCTTACTTCTGTTCAAATACAGAAACTGGTAGTGTACCTTCCTGAATTTCACTCTGCACCTATCATGACATAAAATGAAGATCGCCACCAGCAACCCAATGTCTTCAGTTTACCTCTGACTGCACGTGTTGAAGACTTGCATTTGCTGAGGGAAAGAGGTTTCATGAGAGGCACTGCAAAAGCCTCACCGATTCCCATCACGCAGAAGGTAAGTGCAGCTCCAGAGCAGCAGAGCTGTGGTGAAGAACCGCACTCTCCCTTTCTGGATGGGCTCACCTGAACTCACCAAATATAAATATCAAACTAAATTGCTTAACCTGCCTTGTGGTTTTCTAGCCATCCTATTAAACACCACTGTTCTTACGTGAATTTCTACATGTTGATAACGAAAAAGTACTTTTAAGTGTCAAGATGAACATGTAAGCCAGGAACCAAACATGCAAGAAAGCACTGGGAAGGCAAACTCAACAGTGGACAACAGCACTTCTGGGGAAAAACTAAGCATGCAGCTAGTCCTTGGGTCAATCTGAGGATGGTGTCAGCAATGCAATCACAGAGCACCTTGAAAAACATACAGGGTATATGCCAACACCAGCCAGAAACCTAATGTTTGCTCCACTGCCGGAGGTTGCTGCTGCTTTTGCAGAGCGGGTGTGAGCAGAGGTGGCTTGAGATGCTTCCTCGGGGTGTGGTGAGCCAGGGCACAGCGTGGGTGAGGTGCAGGCAAACCCAACTTCAGCATCTACCCATGGCTCCGTCTGACCTAGTGTTCGCACGAATAATTTATCCAAACTCTACCTGACTTTTGCTAGCTCATGCCAGCTGATGTGAGCAGGTCTGGATGACAGCTGTGTGACAGACAGACAGTAGAAGCGGCAGCTTGGTTATTTTTGGTGTAAAACGGATCAAATTTTCAGCACCATGAAGCAGCCACCCTGTGATACCGCAACAGTCCTGCACGTCTACTTGTCTGGCCACCACAGTGGTTTCTAATTTTTTAGCCAACATGCCACACTCCCGATCATCCCCACTAAATAACCCACAGAGCATACTACCGTTCTGTGAGATTTTTTTGCCTCTGTTTTGCAAGATCCCTGCTTTGCCAGGCCTGCTCACCAGCCAGTTTCCTCTCCAGAATACTCACCTGCCAGGAAAAGTCCTGAAAAGCTCTCGCAGACCAGAGCACCTCCTTGCCAGGAGAGTTTTGCCAATTTTCTGAGCACTAGGCTTGTGCACCAGTGTCATACTGGGCACAGGAACAACCGGCAAGTCTGAAACCTCAGTATCTTAAGTCTCTTTTGTCTCTTGTTTATAGCACTCCGGACTGAATGAGCACACCAGGAGAATCGTTTACAACGCCACTATCCCTTCTGCCATTTGCTGCTATTCAACACAGGTAAACCCCTTACCAGCAGTTACTCTAGAAATCCCACCCACCACTGAAGAGGAGAGCATTGTAAGAGTGTCTAGGGACTAGATCTAATAGGAGAAATACACAGTGCAACTCGCAACACCCACTGTGTACATGGTAACCCAGTACCCTACGCCAAGCCCCTACGACGTGACGAGGGGAAGTCAGGCACCCTGGAGAAAAAGAGGAAAAAAAGGGACCCACCAGCAAAAAGACATCCAAGCTGCTTAACAGGGCACTGGTAAGAGTGTTTTAAATCCCACCTCTTCTTGGGACTCGGGCAACTTAAACTAGAATTGCAGAGGCACCCCCCTTCCCTCTGAACTCTAGTCTGAAAACGTCCCTTAGAAGATAGCCATCCACTGCTGCAGGTACCTGTGTGGATTGCTCTCCTTTTGAAATACACTAATGGGATGGATCTTGAGCTGCTCTCTGCAACAGCCCTCAGGAGATGGGAGACAAGTTTGAAGTATACCCCAAAGGATTCACACCAACATCTCCAGCATCCTCCAGAGGGAAGCTACACCACTGGGCTATCGGCTGTTTCAGGAGGGGCATCTCACGCCGTTGCAAAGCTGTACCACCAAAGCAGCCAATATTCATCAGGCTAAGCAGCAACCTAAAAGCCATTAAAAAGCAGTTCCAGCCAACCCTGTTCAAGGTGAGCACACTCAGGCTCTGGGCTGGAGTCACCCTTGTTTTTGTGCACTCAATATAGGATAACATGAACAGGGAAGTAAATTTTCTGCACAGCTTCAAGCCATTCTTCAGAGAGGTTAGCAACGTGCATTTAAATATCCTCAGAGCAAGCAACAACCCGACGCAAGCAATTTAAACACTGCAATACTGAGTGAAAGCAGACAGTAGCACGCCATCCTCCAGTACTGTCAAAAAAAGGAAAAAAAGAAGAAAATCACAGACACTGCCACTGTATTACATGCAGAGCCCAAATCAGGCAGGCGGACAACAGAGAGTCTAGTAGATAGATGTACTGCTTCCCTCAGTCCCAAATAAATTTACATGCAAAAACATCTTTGAGCTGGGCTAAGCTAAACCCTGTCAAGGCCACACGTGTCAAGAGAAAAACTTCAGTAATTTGTAAACTTTAAATTAAGCAAGAGGGGAAACTATGGAGTACACGCATCAGTTATTCAGACCTTTCCGAACTGTAGTGTTGGACTTTGGAGGCACATAGAATAAGAGTTATCGATCCTTAAGTCCTGAGGAACAGGCTCTGTACAGCTCTCAGTCTTAGAAACTTAGAAGGACCAACTTTTCTTCGGTAAAATGAGGACTCTGTAGGGTGACTCATTATCTGTTCCTCTGCCTGCAGTGCTC